CTTAACAAATACATCATTGGGATGTTTTTATTTGTTGATATGCGAGTGTGTGCTTTGGTAGGATAATCATATGCATGTATATTTCTAACTTATCAATGTATAATGGAGTTTAATTAATGTTTCAAAAGACGCCAAAACTAAGGTCAACAGAAATAATATAGTTGTATACTATTGAGGATCTTCGAAGACAATTTTCAAATACCGTTGAAAGGATATATTGACCAGATGTTCTAACTTCGAGCTTTATTTTATCATGTCTATATCAAATCCTGTCACTAACTCAATAAAAAATGAGAACTAAATCATTTGAATTACACTTAAGTCTTTATTTCAGGTTTTCCATAATAGAAATATACTAGAAAAATAGTCCTACTACTTGAACACAAATAAAAGTTATTTAAAAAGTTTCATAAAAGTTTATCTAGTTCATTACTTATATATATATATATATATATATATATATATATTCGGTTCGGAGAATATAATGAATTTCATGTATATAAATCTTCTCATCAACTAATCGTCAAATATCAAAACTATAGAATTTAAAAGATAAATGATAGATTTTCAGGTAGTAATAAACTACAAATATTAATTAGTATAAGTTAATAGTATGTTTAACCCAATAGTGAATAAATTAATTATATTTGATGTTTTTAAATTGAGAGTTGATTTCCATTTCCACTTTGGAACGGCTCGCTCTATATCATATATTCTGAATCAAACTATTGTATTCTTATGTCAGTGTCGTCTTATGGTAATAAGAACTTTTTAACGATGTTAATACAACTTTGACATAAAATATTTTCCATATATATAATAAAGACATCTTGATAACAAATGGTACAATTGATTTTTTTTTTTAAATCATAAACTTGATGTTTAGCGTTGCAAGTATATATTTATACTCAGTTTTCGGTTTATAAATGCACTTTTTCGAAGAAAACATTATTTTGTATCTAATGATTAATTTCTAATAACTATAAGAAATATTTTTAGTATTAAGAAACATACAATTTCTAAGATTATGATTAGATTATATGGGTTAGTGTTTGCGATAAATTGACAGCATTTTTCTGTTTTACTAACATAGCTAGAGTGATGCATCAAATTTTTTGAAACGACCTGAATTTTCTAATATGTTTTTTTCTCGGTGAAGCACATGGAGCAGGAAAAAACAAACACAATCTTCTGCAACTTGGGGAATGTCCAACATATGTTACGAATGAATGATAAATACAAATTAATAGGAAAATAATATCTTTGGTGGTTATATATAGCTCCAAATTCTTCTATAGTTTTGCTATTGTTAACAACAATAAGACCAATATAACATTATATATTATCCGCCTCACTGATATTCAATAGACATTTTACATAATTAAGAAAGTATTATATTGTTTGGTCTAATTAGTTGAATAGAATTTAAATGAGAAACAAAATAAACTGGAAAAAGGGAAAATGTAGATACAAATTAAAAATCCAAACAAAATGTTTTCTCTTTGAAATCTAAATAAATTATAAAATATTTTTGTGTCATACATATACAGTCTTGAGATTCTGAATGTATTTTTAATGACAGAAAGTAGAATCTTACAGAAAAGATATGTTGTCCAAAGATATATTTTAGTTAACTTTATGTTCTGATAATTCTTTTTTTTTTGTCGTCATGATTTGATAATTCGAACCACTGAAATATGGTTTTTTTTTAATTCTAAGCTATTGAGATATTGTTTTTTTTTAAATATCAACTAAATAGTTTAGAAAATTAACTTGTAATCTTGAACAAAATACCAAACGTTAGATCTTCTTTCTAGAACAAAAAAAAAATTCAGACCACGTTGCGTTCGACTCTTTGTTTTACCTTTTAACTTGTAAGAATCTCACTACGAGAAGCTTAGGGCCGCATCTACGATAATGAAAACGATTTGGTAACTGTGGTGATTTCTCACTAATCCAATGCTGTGTAAATGTCACTTTGATTTTCGATCTTAAAATCATTGATAGAAGGTATATAAAGCTTTTTTAAGAATAAATCCTGAAGAAAAATATAGTCATTATATGGAAGTTTGATATCCAAATGTCGATTTTTAAAAACTATTATATAATCATAAGTTTTTGTCATGCGGTGTACATAAAAATTTATAAGAAAGAAACACCGAATACTACTAGTAATTTTTGAATCAGTTTCTAACATATTTATCGTAGATGGTTTCACTTTATTCTTTTTATATTGTAAATGGTTGTACATTTAAAACAAAAATTTGGTGGTATTGAACATTACTTTAAATTTTATCATTTAAATTGATTTTTTTATCCATTAAACTAAAAGCTTGAAAAAATAAACTAATTATAAAGAAAATAGATTTAAGTCATTTTTTACTATTTAGAGGAAACCTGTTGACAAAAAGAAAAAAAGAAACCTATAATGAACTTTTACTCATTATTTATACTAATATTTATTATATTGATTTTTGGAAAGACTATTTGGGTAACATATCATTTTTTCATATAACATCATTAAATTAATTATTACATTTTAGCTGCTGCACCTAACTGTATAATCATTCACAAATGCTTGGCTCACATGAATTATGACAATAAAATGTTTGGCATATCATTAACGCATGCAAGAAATACTTAAAAGTGTGATTAGTTTAGAGTTACAGATTTACGTACATGTCTGGTCCTGGAACATACATAATAGCCAAACACGTAGGTGGGCATGCACAATGTACGTTAAAAGCTGTAACAAAACAGACAAAAAAAAGAAAGATTATGAGAAAAAAAGTGATAAGTAGCAATAAATAGGTGAAATGGATAGAGCTAAATAAAAATATGGACCGACCCATTACAACAAATTTAAACAAAAGTACAGAGTACACAGACTAAAACAGTAGCTATGGTTTTTTTTTGGCGTCTCTGTAATAAATTGTTCTGGGGATCTTCGTCCTATCCCCATGCCATTCACTATCAACACATTCATTTATTGATGCTTCATTATCTTCTTTTGTTTTTTTGCCGGTCACAATTTTTTTAATTCGTACCATATTCTATAGCATTGATTTTTTATAGTCGTAGGTCGTCGACTTTTGTCTTTTCATTTATTTTTATGTGATAGTAACACTTATAGGTCTTTTGAAGTTATGTATTATAAAGTGCATTTTGATTTATTTGATGTGTACCATTTTATCGTTACGGTGTTTTACTCTTGTAAACAATATGTGGACATACACAATGTTTCTTATTTTAATTCAAAAGTAAACAAGATTAGTGACGTTATATGTAGCATAGTCACGCGTTAAAAGAACGTGAAGTTAATCTTTTAAACTTGAAAAAATATCAACATCACGTTTTTTCACGTAACAAATGGTAAATTATTTTATCACCTAGTATAATACTCCATATTTCTTTTTTAATTGTTGTTCTAAACTTATTATTTTATTTTAAAATAATTATAATTTTCAGTTTTTAATACATATGATAGATTTATCAGTTTTATTCTTACTTTTTAGCTTATTAATTATTTTTATCAAATAAAATAATATATTAATTAAGAATAAAATAAATAAAAAATTATTTTTAATCTAAAACGACAATTAAAATGAAATGGAGAGAGTAACATTTATTTTCACTGTACCTACCGTTATATTATCACTGTAGAACCTCATGAATTTCAGCATTATGGTCAAGCAATAAATATCTGTACAAATGTAGTTGGTATTATTACTGTGGCAACATGTTTATTTTCTATTCATCAGGTGATGGCTTATCGGATCAAGTCTCGATTCGAACATTAAATGGTTTTGCATGGATCGATATATTATATATAAACAAATTAAATGGCTCACATCCATAGATCCAATAATCGAAGATCTGTGCAATAATGCATTTATCATTTTAATGAAACTGTATTAACCAATCATAATTTCTCATCTACTACATTAAATTCTGTCAAAGATCAAATAGTGGTATATATATAAACTCACAATCAACAAATGGTCTCATAATTTGCAGATGAGACGGACTTCCAAAAAATTAAATATATCATCTAGAACAACTAATACACTATTTTAATCCCAAATTTGTACTGTATGAACAACAACTACAAGACTAATTTGATATCATAATAATACTATCACTTTTAATTTAAACTATGGACCGACGTAAGTTTATCTTGTTTTCACTTTTTATTTTCCAATATAGCGTTAGAAATTCTTTGGGTAAAAAAACTGTTGTAGTTTTTGGCTATATAAAAATAAATTACATCAGCTTTTTAGATTGCAGTTTTTATCATTTAGCAAACGAAATAACTAAAAGCAACTTTCTCACGATCTTTAGTAGTACATATTTTAAAAGGTTATTGGCTATATAATAGCTTTTGTAGCCATAACTTATCCATATTCTTCAAATGTTCAGTATTATGAGATTATATGGTTTTCTTTTTAAATTAGGTGCTAAACAAGCTTTGTTTCTTCATAGGTATATGTAGCTTATAGCGAACGAGTTTACAATTCTATATTCCTGATTTTTTTGTAATACTAAGAGATAAGATATGCATTTTTGTTTTCAGGTTTCTTTATACAAAAATCAGTAGACAGTAGGGCTATAATATAGCATGTTGTCTATGTACATAAAGATTAGTACCAAAAGCAATCATTTTATTATAATTAACCATGGAGAAGAAAAGTGATTAAAAATGCAGTAACTTCTATAAATTGACAGCTTTAGGGAAGTATCTAGTGTTAGTTAAAAATAATTTAATAAATCTCTTCTATATTTCATAAAAAAGTTCATAGATAATCCCAATAACAAATTTTCCACTATTATTGAAAAAAAAGAAAGAAAACTCCTTTTTAAATTCAACACTCGCACCATCTCTCTTTCTCTGCATCTCAATTCCACATTTCTTATAATCTCATAACACTTTCTCGGAGAAAAAATCTCAGTCACTAACACAACGCACGAGTCACGAGGTAGTAGAAGAAGAAAGAAGCAAAATGATAAACGGCTGGAGAAGAGCCTTTTGCACTTCCATACCCAAAGAGAGAAACGACAACAACGACGACGGAGTTGTTGATTCACCGGAAAATCAACGTCTCCGCAACAAATCCACCTCTAGATTCGGGTTTTTCTCAACTCCGTCAACGCCTCGTTCCGTTTCCGGTACTTACAGTCTCCGTTGTCGTACTTCGCTAGCCACCGCCGTCTCCACCGCTTCTCCATCTCCGTCTCTTCCCGGAACTCCGAAGCTAAAGTGCAGAACAACCACCGCGGAAACAACTCCAATCACAACGCCGACGAGAAACATAAGCCTCGTTTCTTCTCCTTCTTCTTCTTCTCCGGCGAGCTTCTCCATCCTCAAATCCAAACTCCGATTCAATAAGGTAAATAGTTTATCGATATGAATTTTTTTTGTTTTGTAAAATCGATTGAATATTAGCTAATTGTTTGATTTTTGATCCGTAGCAGAGTAGCAACAAATGCGGAATCTGTTTGCAGAGTGTGAAATCAGGTCAAGGTACGGCGATTTTCACGGCGGAGTGTTCACACACGTTTCATTTCCCCTGCGTGACCTCACGCGCCGCCGCAGATCATAACCGGCTCGCCTCTTGTCCGGTTTGCGGATCTTCGCTGCTGCCTGAGATTCGAAATTACGCTAAACCGGATTCTCAGACCGAGCTTAGGATCAGAGGAGAAGCGAAGAGCAACAACAAGTCGTTGAGAGTTTACAACGACGACGAGCCTTTGATTTCATCTCCGATTTCTCCCGCCGGTTTTCACACCATACTTGAATCCGATGAAAACGAAGACTGTGAGTTCAGTGGATTTTCGGTTAATACGCCGTCACCTTTAACGGCGATGCTCTTAACGGATCCTTCTTCGAGAAACGTGGAGGTTAAGCTCTCGCCGGAGTCGGCAATCGTTGCGGCGGGAAAAGGTTACGAGACTTACTCCGTGGTCCTGAAGGTGAAATCGCCGCCGTTTCCGACGGCGCGTGGAGCTGCGCGTAGATCTCCGGTAGATTTGGTAGCAGTTTTAGACGTGAGCGGGAAAAACTCCGGAGGGAAATTAGAATCGCTGAAGCGAACGATGAGGCTTGTGATTTCGAATCTACGGGAGACGGATCGTTTATCGATCGTCGCGTTTTCGTCGAGCTCGAAACGGTTATTGCCGTTACGGAGGATGACGGCAAACGGGAGGAGATCAGCAAGAAGAATCGTAGATATCATCTCCGTTCCCAACTCCGGCGAAGGAATGAGCGCGAACGACGCGTTGAAGAAAGCGGTTAAGGTGTTAGAAGATCGCCGGCAGAAAAACCCTTTCACCACCGTCTTCGTTTTAACAGACCGTCAGGCCCATCAGGCCCACATGGCCCATTCTAGAATTCCCGTCATATGGCTTGGCGCGTATGATCACGCGTTAACGGAGGACGCGTTTGCGAGAAGCATCAACGGTTATTTAAGCTTGTCAGTTCAGGATCTCAATATGAACCTCGGGTTAGTTTCCGGGTCGGGTCAGGGAGAGATTACTTCCGTCTACTCTCTTTCGGGTCGACCAGCTTGGCTTGGAACCGGTTCAATCCGGTTAGGTGACATGTACGCAGAGGAAGAGAGAGCGTTGCTGGTGGAAATCAAAGCGCCGGTTAATTCTTACTCCACGAGTAGGTCCCACAGAATATTGACCGTTCGATCTCGTTACGTAGACCCCACGACCCAAGAAATAAGAAACCCGGAAGATCGGGCGCTTCTGATTCCTTCCCCTCTCACCGTACGATCATCATCTAATCCTAACATCTCACGGCTCAGAAACCTCCACGTAAGCACTCGAGCCATTGCGGAGTCTCGGCGGCTAATAGAGCGGAACAACTACTCCGGAGCTCAGAGATTGCTGACGTCAGCTCGAGCTTTGTTAGTGCAGTACGGTTTGAACTCGAGTGATACGTGCTTACGTGGCATAGACTCCGAGCTAGCAGATCTTGACAGTGTGAGAGGAAGTCAGGTGACGTCATCAGAGAGTCTTGAGCCGCTTACTCCGACGTCGGCTTGGAAAGCGGCTGAGAGGTTGGCTAAAGTGGCTATGATGAGGAAACATATGAACAGAGTCAGCGACTTGCATGGGTTCGAAAACGCGAGATTTTAAGTTTCGTTTTATTTTGTCTGTTTGAAACATATTTCCTTAATTAGACTATAGAACTTTGTGTAATGATCTGATACAAACAAATAGAAAATGGTGCATAATGAAGTTATATTTGGTCATATGATAAGATTGGAAATGAGTTATATTATACCATTCAGCTTTCTTGTAATTATCTTACGCTAATTAAAAGTTTTGATTTACAATATTGTTAGACAAAGTTATAAAGATTCCACTGATTTGAACAAAGCGATGGATACGAAGCTTTTAAGAAATGTTAAAAAAACATCAATTCGAAATGTATTGATTGTATTTGAAAATGCTTAACATATGTGTTTTGCGTCTTATATGATTTTAAAAATGCGTAACATACATTAATCTTTTGCACACACACACAAAAAAAAACATACATTAATCATGAACCTGAAATGATTTTTCATTGCTTTTCTTTTACTAAATTACTTTTATATATGAACTATGATTTACTTTATAATTATTTAAAGTGTAACTTTTTAGGCAGAGCATATATTCTATGTGTACTCTCTTCATAATGGGGTGTTACATTTTAAATACTAAAATGTAGTACTAAACAATCGGGATGTAGCCTTTTTGCGGCTACAAACACTAATTCAATTCGTTGTATCCAATGATTCAAACTCGATGGTCAACAAAATATTTTCTTTAACAATACAACAAATCAGCAATAATATGTATAAAGAAGCCTTATGAACATGATTGCGATGAGAATAAGGATAATCATTTTAACGGCGGAATTTGTCTTTCTTTTTTTTTGTTTGTCTCTTAGGCTTTTTACACATTATACTACTATGATTGTTAGTTTGTTACAGGCTTACAGCTCTCGTTTTCCCTCCAAAATTTCTCGAGTGTCCCATGTGTTACGCACAATATGCATTATACTTTTCGCAATTATCTACAAGATAATCTCAAAGGACACGTACCTTAAAAAAAATCAAAAGCTACGTACGTGTTTACGTAATTGGTTTTACTTTTACCCATTTTGGCTAAGAATATCAATTTTTGTTTTATGGATACCAAAAGTTTTAGTGTGATGTGGCTAAGAATATCAATTTTTTTTTATGTTATGGTAAGTGTATAATTATTTGTGAAATCGTTTGCGATATGATCAATGTCAAATGTCTATGTTGCATCTGCTGCACATATAATTAAATTTGAACAATAGATTATCATTTGCGATATGATCATCGGAAAATTGGATCATATGACCATATTTCCAAGCTAAATTCATAAATTAACCATAGCAAAGTAGGTGTTATAGTATTCTTCATATATTCTATAATATATACAAAATTACTCTTTTTGTTTTTTGTTTAATTTCTTTCCTTTACGATCTTCTCTTCTCATCCTTTTTCATTTCCTTTCCTCTGTTCACATCGGTTCATCTTATCTCTCATCTTTCCCTTTCTCTCTCTTTGCCTCCGCTTTCCTCTCCTTCCCTTCTCTTTCGTGTTTTTCCTTTCCTTCATCTTTTTTTTTGTATATACTATATCAAATTGGACTATTCCATAAAATTATATATAGTATAGTATGTAGTATCTTATTTTCGATAATTGATTGTGGGCCATAGTTAGTTTACCAATTTTTCAAATATCATAGCTATATTCCTCGATTGTTTTTCGAATATGGTTATTGAACAAAAAAACCCATCATTGAGAAATTGGGTCATATAACCATATTTCCAAACTAAATTCATAAATTAACCATAGCAAAGTAGGTGCTATAGTATTAACCATAACAAAAAAACCCATGATCATTATCAAATGTCTATGTTGATGTAATTAAATTAACTGATGACAAAAGTAGATAAGTCATTTACCCGCCAATTTTAATAATTGGTTAGTCACATTTTTATCTCAATCAGCTTCTTTAACCATCAAACAAAATTGATAAACAGTATCACACTTTGTTATAAATACAAAACATACTAATAAAATAAGATATTAATCGGCCTAAGTGTTATGTACCTTTTGTCTAAAATGTTTAAAAGAATAATCTATCACCGGTCAAACAATGAAACAAAAGCAAAAGGCAAAAGTATATGGAGATTATATGGTTTTAGTACGTTTAATTTGGATAGCGATGGTGCGTTCCACTAAAGGTATGCAATAATGGTTCGCACGGCTATATCTAAAAGTTCATATCATATACAAACAAGTCCAAGATTTAATTCCATTTTAAAGTATCAAGAGATCTTTAATTATATAGTAATTTTATAGTTTTTAGATTTAGTATATATATACACGGACAGGTATAGATTAGGTAGACCAAAATCCAAATTAAAGGAAAAGGGTTGTTCACAAATTGAAGTTAGTGGAGAGTTTTCAAATCAACATGATCAGTATAAGTCTATATAAATTTCTTAATAACAATTTTTTTATATAATATACTTTAATCAGAAGAATATCAAAAAGTTATCCGACATAAGGAGTATCATTTCATTCATATTGTATAGTTAAGCTCCACATCCTTTCCAAGGAAGCAAAACTCATAAAATATATATGTTAAGAACTATAACAACATATCCACTACAATATTATACAACAAGTCTCTATACATTAATATTGCTGGTACTTTGACATTTTGTTAATTTGTTGAGATATCAATTAATAAGTTTGTTTAACTTCAAAACTATTATGATAAGATATATGAAAGTTTTGATCCCAATTTCTTTCATTGTGAATCGAATCATGTCAAATGCAGCACTCATATATTAGTAGGACATGAACATATCGAGTGTGATACACGGCAGTGTGTGACTGAATGCATTTTGTTGGTAAAGGTGGGCAATATCAAAAGAGAGAGAGAAGTAATATTGGGCCAAATTAATCAAACCCAAATTCAGATTTTAGGCCCAATAAATTAAGCCCACGAGAGAGAAGCCCAACGCGTGAACCGAAGGACATAGCCGAACCTAATTGTGTTAACTCCAAATCCAATAATGCGATATATCGTCTTGATATAAATTTCCATTTTCCAATATTTTTGATGTTAAAATTTTTAAAAGCCCAAATGTATTAACTCCCATTTATAAAACTGTTCTCGTGGCTTTAGATATACAGTATGTGTTGCTTTTTTTTTTTTTTAAAAAGGGCTTTCAATGTGTTGCTTTTTTGCATGAAAAAATTATAGCGATTACATACATGGATATGTAAATATACTATAGATTATAAATAGTGAATTATTACTTTTTGGATAAATATAATGGAAATATATAAACTGAAAGCTACCAATAACAACTACAGCTGTCCCAAACAAAAAATAATCCCTCAATATCTGTATATTCTGTAAATCTAATTATATTTAATACCAACCCACAATATCAAATATAGTTATCATCTATATATTTATAAAATTAAAAAATGTTTATAAATTCAAATTAAAAAAACTTTAAACTTTAAAACTTCCCGTGGAGAATCTCGCCGGTGAAACGGTTTATAGTTGAGAGAGAGCTGCTTCAGGCTCTAGAGGAGAAGTCTCAATTTCACTCATTCTTTAGACCAAAAATATATTTAAAAAAAAAGGGAAAAGCAAATCTTTTAATTTTGTTACCACCCAAACAAAAAACCTAATTTAAGAGAAAAAAAATCATTAATTTATATATTTTCCCATTTAAGAGAAGATATGCGAGTGAGAAAGATTGGGATGCATGAGAGGCGCAACATGGCGCATATTAGCAACAGCCCTTTTTGTTTCTGGGTCCTTCGGTTTCCTTTGTTTTCCTCTTTATTCCTCCAAAAACCTAAGCCCACGAGAGAGCATCCTCTCTTCTTCTCATACCCCCCTTTTTATCTCTTCGCAGCTTTCTCTCTTCTCGCAGATCCACACAGATCTTTGTTCTCTCCTTTTTTTCTTCTTCTCTCGATCGCAATTCGTCAGATCTCATCGATTTTCACGATTTTTCGCTGGATTTCATCGGTTCCAGGTCAAATCCAGGTAAATTTCGATCAGATCTGCGTTTTTGGCTGTTTTTTTGGATGGGTTTGTTGCGGAAATATGAGATTTGGTGTTTGTTTTATTGATTTTGATGGTGTTCGAGAAGATTTTCATTGAAAATTATGTGTTTTGAATCGAATTGATGAGTTTTATGCGTTTTGACAATTAGTCCGATCTCAATTTTTATCAATTTGTGGCGAATCATCTTCTTAACTACGGATTCATCTTCAAATTTTTGACTTTCTTCTTCTACTTTGATTTTCGATTAGATCCGTCGTTTTTGAATGATTATTCTGTGGGTTTGTTGGTGAGATATCAGATCTGGTGCTTGTTTTTCAAATTCGATTCATCGGAATTAGATTGGCTTCGATAACAATTTCTGGAAAACGAGGTGTTTTATGGATGAGTATTGGATTCCGTTTTTTGACATCGGATCATATTGAAATTTTTAGTTTTTCTTCTATTTTGATCTGTTTGATCCGATTAAAAAGTTAGCTCTCTTGTGTTTTTTTTTTTGGTTTCGTTTCTTAACTCTGTTTTCAATCTAGAAAAAGCAAACTTTTATGCATGTTGAAATAAGCATCGTTGAATTGTTTTTTTAATTTGTTTGCAGGAATCTGCTGATTCGTGGGCTATCTTCTAGCAAAGATGCAGGGCTATGAAGAAGTAAGTATTTTTGGGTGATCTGTTCTTTCGAATTCGGTTTAATCTTACTCCGTTTTAACAACATGATTCGCTATTTTCATTGCAGGACCTTGATGATGAAGCTGGGTACGATGACTATTACAGTGATGATGATGGATTGGAGCAGGAGTATGAGGACGAGGAGGAAGAAGAAGAACCACCAAAGGAAGAACTCGAGTATCTTGAGTTGCGTCAAAAGTTAAAAGATTCAATCAGGAAGAAACTGGGCAAAGGAAGTGCCAATGCTCAATCTTCACAAGAGAGAAGAAAGAAACTCCCTTACAACGAGTATGTGGTTGCTATTATTAATCACCTTTTAAAGTCATAGTACAACATTCGAGAATGTGTTTTTGATTGAGGCTAATTGTGTTTTTTTCCTCTGCAGTTTTGGTTCCTTCTTTGGTCCTTCGCGTCCTGTTATCTCCTCGAGGGTTATACAAGAAAGCAAATCCTTGCTCGAGAACGAGATACGGACAGGTAGAATGTCGAGCTCGAACCAAGCTGTATGTGCTTTTAATCTTCTTATCTCTTCACACATTCTATAGTTTAAAAGGTTTTACTCTTTTTTGCTGATGTACTTGTTTGTGTTGTGCAGAAGAAAAGACCTGTTCCAACGAGTGGTTCAGACGCTAAGAGTGCGTCCCTTGAGAAGCGGCCTAAGGTTGTGAGCGAGGCAAGGAGGAAAGTTGAGACTCTCAAGGACACAAGAGACTATTCGTTTTTATTTTCCGATGACGCGGAGCTTCCTGTTCCGAAGAAGGAAGCATCGTCTCTGTCTCGAAGTGGCTCCTTTCCTAGTTCTGGTATGTTGCGTCTTCCGAGAAACTCTGTTTGTTGTTATTTTAAAGCATACCATTTTCATGGAGATAACTTATACAGGTTTTTTGCTGATGTTCAAGAGGCTCGTTCTGCTCAGTTATTAGCACGGCCCAAACAGCCATCAGGTACCACCAATGGTCGAGCCGCACACGCTCCTCCCCCTCGTGAGGAGAAGAGACCCGTATCAGCGAATGGGCATTCTTCAAGACCGGTTTCCTCTGGCAGCCAAATGAACCATTCAAGACCTGCTCCGCACATTTCAAGACCGGCTTCCTCGGGAAGCCAAATGCAAAACTCAAGACCGGTTTCCTCGGGAAGTCAAATGCAGTCGCGTAGACCGGCTTCCTCAGGCAGCCAAACGCAAAACACAAGACCGTCTTCCTCCAGTAGCCAAATGCAGCAGAGGGCTTCGTCCTCGGGAAGCCAAAGACCTGGTTCCTCGGTAAACCGTCAAGCACCACCCACTAGCAGACCATCAGGCTCTTCGATGAATGGCCAATCAGCTAACCGGAATGGCCAGCTGAATTCCCGATCAGCTCCTTCGAAAGCGCCAGTGGATCAGAGGAAACAGATGAGCAGCGGCAGCAATGGAGTCGGTCCTGGCCGGTCAGCGCCGCCCACGTCTAGACCTCTGCCTTCTAAGATGTCACTGGAGAGAAGGCCCTCCATCTCGGCGGGAAAGAGTTCTCTTCAAAGTGCTCAAAGACCATCCTCGTCTAGACCAATGTCATCTGATCCGAGACAAAGGATGCTAGAGCAGAGAAAGGTTTCTCGTGACCCTGCTACATCCCGAATGATCCCGAAACAATCAGCGCCTACCTCGAGACACCAGGTATATCTATCTCACTATCTTTCTCTCTTATCTTCCTCTCTTGTCTTCTTTTGCCAAAACAAAGTCTAGCAAAGTCACTAATTTGTACAAGTAACTAACTTTTACAGATGATGAGTAAACCGGCGCTCAAGAGACCTCCACCGCGTGATATAGATTATGATCGAAGGCCTCCGCCGAAGAAGAAGAAGCCTGCAAGAATGACAGAGGATGATATAGCCATGAACATGATTAGGCAAATGTTCAAGTACTGCTTCGAACTTCCCTCCCACTCTACATTAACTTTTTAAAGTCCTCTTCTCTTCTCTTGACACTTATGGATTTTGTGTTTAAAAATGTCAGGACTGAACGTTTTGCTGGGCGTGACGATGATGACCGAAACATGGAAGCAAACTTTGACGATATCATGAAGGAAGAGAGACGAAGGTAAATTCGATATTCTTGATCATGTGTTTCATTTATTTGGTTCTTCTGCATTATACAATTCCTTAATGGTTCATGTGCTGTCTTGGTAAATGCAGTGCGAGAATCGCAAGGGAGGAAGATGAAAGAGAAGCTCTGCTTGAAGCGGAAGAAGAAAGGAGAGAAAGAGAGAGAAAGGCTCGGAAGCTGAGTCGTTAAAGAGTTAGAAGAATCCTTTTGCTCTTTCGTCTTCTTCTCTGTAGGATTTCAGATATTTGTTTTTATAGTGTTACAGTATTACTCAATTTAAATCTCTTCGGCCACTTGAGGCTTAAAGGGTTTAACTTTTCTTTTTTGTTTTTCAAATTAAAGGATCTTTTGTTCTTGGAAATGTACAATTAGTAATAATATTTCTTTTTTGGGGCAACTTCAGGAATCTGGAACTTTTCTTGGTAACCTTCAAAGTTAGTGAAAGTTGATTCTTTTTTTCGTTGTAAAACCAGAGGAGATGATAAAGTAAAAGAAACAGAGTGAGAAAAAGAATAATCTTTAGTTTAGATGATAAAAAATTTCACTTTTTACAAGTCCAATAATATGATTTTAGTGATTCCTTCTTTTCTCTCAAAGATCTTTGTTTCGTGATATCAAATGGTGACCAAAGATGAAGATTGTCGTCTTCCTAATGCAACGGAACCGTCGAAATGTTATTCTCCATCTTCTTCAACTCCTCTCGCGGAGTTAGAAACTGCCCGGAGCTTAGAGATTGTCGAATCTTCCTTTCTGTCTCCCATTTGGTACATCATTCATTGCTTTACTCTTGACTTTTCCTCTCTGCCCGCCATGAACGTACGGATTTTGAGATCTCCCTTCACTGTTCGTATACCCATAAAACGATGCAAAGTTGAAAGCTTTTCCCATGATGCGTCTTTGTTCTTCTGTTTAAAAGACTCTGAATCTCATTTGTGATTGTGTGTTATATTCTCTTTTGCATTCAATTCTATATGCTAAAGATACTGATTTGGTCTTTGACACAGAACTCTGATTTCTTTGCTTCATCATTATCTTCTTCAAAACCTTTTTTTTTTCAGGTTACTGGTGATCTTCTGCATCATTAACTTGTTAAACTACATGGATCGTGGTGCTATAGCGAGCAATGGTGTCAATGGCAATATCAGGACTTGTGATGATAAGGGCAAATGCAACCCTGCAACTGAGATTCAGTAAGAATTTGGTTGTTTAAGGCCTAAAGCTTTTATATTTTACTCAAATTTGTGGTGATGTAAAGTTGCTTCTTCTAGGGGACATTTCAATCTAAGTAATTTCGAAGATGGTGTGCTGTCATCTTCATTTATGGTTGGACTTCTTATTGCATCGCCAATCTTTGCTTCATTAGCAAAAAGGTTAGGAAACATTTTTCAGTTTTTTTCTTCTAAGGCCTAAACAAAATACAGCTTATTGAAGTTGTTTATTGTTTGTAGTGCAGTTTCAATCCATTTAGACTTATTGGAGTAGGCTTAACTGTTTGGACTATTGCAGTTCTTGGTTGTGGAAGTTCCTTTGCCTTTTGGTTTATCGTCTTATGTCGCATGTAAGTTAAGTTTTGTTCTTGTTTATGATTTTGACTTTGCCTGCTCCAAATTTTGATTTGTATGACTATTATTACTCGATAGGTTCGTTGGTGTAGGTGAAGCTTCTTTCATCAGTCTTGCAGCTCCGTTTATAGATGATAATGCTCCTCACAAACAGGTTTCTCTTTTAAACCTTTTTAGCACATCTTATGGATTCAAAATGCAACATTTGTCCATTTCTGATTAACCCTTTTTGCTTTTAACTTCAGAAAGCTGTGTGGCTTGGTGTGTTTTACATGTGTATACCAAGTGGTGTTGCTTTGGGCTATGTCTATGGCGGATACGTACGTATATTGTTGGGACTATGATATTGGTTTATAAAAAGTTGTCTTAAAGGTTCAAAATTTGTGATTTTCAGGTTGGAAAACATTTTAGTTGGCGCTATGCGTTTTGGGGAGAAGCAGTATTAATGGCTCCATTTGCTGTTCTTGGTTTCTTGATGAAACCTTTGCAGTTAAAAGGTGAAGTACAGATTCTGTCTTGTGTTATTAAAAGCATAGACTGTTAAAGATATTGTGATCTGAGAAGATGAATATGAAACAGGGTTTCCTTCTACTGATTCGATAAAGATGGCTTCATCAGTTGGTAAAAACAAGAATCATCTTCAAGCTGGTGGTAATGAGATTGAGATCTCCATTGAAACTTACAAGTTGAGTTTGATTTCATTTATCTTAAAACTTTTTCTTCCATACGTTTTGTATTAGTTTCATCAAATCTTTTTACTTCAACTGTGACAGGTCAAGTTACATGAACGCAGTTTCGAAATCGTTTACTCAGTTTGCGAAAGATATGAAAGTTCTATGTAAAGAAAAGGTCTTTGTTGTTAATGTCTTAGGTAATTATGTTTTACTCTTTACTGTTTCACTATTCTTCTTACGTTATCTTCTTCATTGATTGATATAACTTGGTTTTAACAGGTTATGTATCATACAACTTTGTTATTGGTGCATACTCATATTGGGGACCAAAGGCTGGTTATAGCATTTACAAAATGGTGAAACATGTGTTTCTATCAATCTTTCTTCTTGAGGGTTCTTGAAAGTTTGTTTTCTGATAAGAACTTTATCTTGTCAGAAAAACGCCGATATGATCTTCGGCGCAGTAACTATCATTTGTGGGATCAGTGGGACATTATCAGGAGGGTTTATACTCGATCGTGTCACCGCAACAATTCCAAATGCTTTTAAAGTGAAGAAGAAAAAGCTTTTTCTCTCTTCTTGATTTCGGATTTTGAATCAAAACCTTTTTGATCGATACGTATATATGCAGCTTTTATCCGGAGCAGTGTTTCTTGGAGCGATCTTTTGCTTCACTGCATTTACCTTAAAGAGTTTATACGGTTTCATCGCTCTCTTTGCCTTAGGAGAGTTTCTTGTGTTTGCTACACAGGTAAAAAAACTTTGAGCCTTAGTGTTGTAATATTGTTATGTTTCTTCATCAAGAACAAGAACAAGAACAGATTCGTTTATCTTCTTCTTCTTCAGGCTCCTGTGAACTATGTGTGTTTGCATTGTGTGAAACCAAGTTTAAGACCATTATCAATGGCTATCTCTACCGTTGCGATTCACATATTTGGCGATGTTCCTTCTTCTCCTCTTGTCGGTATCGTTCAGGTAAAAAAAAGATCTCTTCTTGTCATCACCAATACTTGAAAAGAGAGAAAACAGAAACCAAGATTGCTCCATTGTTGTTGTATGTGCAGGATCATATCAACAGTTGGAGAAAAACAGCATTGATCCTTACATCGGTTCTGTTCTTAGCTGCTGCAATATGGTTTATAGGTAAAAAGCAAATCTCAATTCTTGAACCTAGATAAATCTTTCTTGTTCCAAATCAAGAAGCTGTTTTTGTTGCGAATTTTGTTTTGGCAGGGATATTCATAAACAGTGTAGATCGTTTTAATGGAGAAGAAAGTGAAAGTGAGAAGCAGAGGAGGCAAGAACAATCGATTGTAACTCCATAAATGAATAAATACTATATAGCAAAAATAGAGAAATCTGTGTGTATTTGTACAGTTACAAAACACAATGAACCAAATCTTACACAAAAGCTTCAAATTTGCATGGAAAAAATTGAATTACACGTTTCAGGCTGTAGAATTCTCTTTTTGTTTATAGAGAATGTGATCACTGTGCTTCTTCTCAGTTCTTTACCTTATTTCCTATAGATTCTTCTCGATATCGTCTTCTTCTGAATTTATGTTCTTGTTTTTGTCGTCTTCTTTCACTTGATTATTCTCTAAAGAAAGATCTTCTGCTTTCTCATGAATTCTCATGTACCGTCTTTCTAAAACACATGAAAAAACAGTTACAATTAATATACCTAATGAAATACCATTGATCTAAAATAGAGTTTTTCATTGTTTTTTATTTGTTTATCTTAGATTATAACAAATAAATGCAGAGCAAAATTGTTTGTCGATGATGATCAAAATTTCTTAAGAGTTGTTTGTATATATATATTGGCGTGAAAGAGTGGGAAAACTTGGAACATTACCATTTTTGGATACATCTTGCTAGGAAGAGTACTATAGTAGTTTACTCTATTGAATCAATAATAGTATATTTCCTTTTTTTTATATAGTGAAAAAAAAAGAAAGTCTTCTTTATTCTGGCTTGCCTTTCTTCCTGATTTTGTCTACCAGACAGCTAAAACAATCACAGGAAGTAGTGTGACAAATGAGATAGAGAGACAGTAATAGATGCTTGTGTTGCAAGCAAGCGCTACTTCATCTCAGTTCCAAGAAGAGATAATACTCATTCTCTTTGGCTTCTCGTTCGTTTTGCAGAGCTTTCAAAATAATTTATTTGCATGTCTTCTGTCCATAGTGCGCATCATAGTTTTTAATCGATTAGATTTACTTATGTTTAGTATCACGAAGCAATTAAAACAAACCATATAAATCAAACTCGAACAAAGAAAAAATGTATCATGACAAAAGAAACCAAACAAACAAACAAATAGATTTCTCATACTATTCAGCAATATTGACTGGTGAGTTTTGTTTCAGAAAAGACGAAAGTCGATGACTTGTAAAGTAAGCCAACTCTGCCCTGAACCTTATCTTCTTCCTGAGAGCTCTCTTTACATCGACCACATGATTATCATTACCCATAGCAAATCGTCTCTTCTTGACTTGTACTCTTTTTGTAATGTATATCTAATTTCTTTTTCATTAAGGATTTCGTTATTCTTTGTTGTGTATATCTTTTAATTTGGTTGGACCAAAATACATTTACGCTGTTTGCTCAACGTGAATAACACTTCGTACAAAGACTTGATGGTGAGTCAATCTGAGTGAATCTGGAGCACTCTATATGCAATGTATATAAAGAGACGGGGCATGAAACCATGTTTTATCATCACCATTTCCATCTTTCGCTTCTTCATTATTGGTATTGAAGAAAGTTAAATTAGCTTAAAGAAGAAGAACGAAAGGCTCCTGCAACTCAATGAGGACCATTCGTATTACTTTTTCTTTTCTCTTCTCTCTCATATTTTATTTTCAAAACGTGTCTGCGGTTCCTATTAGACATGTGTGTCGTCCTGAACAAAGGGATGCACTTCTCGAGTTCAAGAACAAGTTTGAGATTCGAAAGTCTTCTTTTGATCGCTTGTGTCATTATATTGGTGGAGCTGCTTATCCGAAGACGGAGTCATGGAAACATAACAGTGATTGTTGTTATTGGGATGGTATCACATGCGATGCCAAGTCTGGGGAAGTGATTGAGCTAGACCTCAGCTGCAGCTGCCTCCATGGCAGGTTTCATTCGAATACCTTTCAAAACATTCGTTTTCTATCTTCTCTAGACCTTTCATATAATGATTTTTATGGTCAAATCTTATTCTCCATTGGAAAACTTTCTCATCTCACCTCTCTTGATCTTTCTTATAATCAATTTTCGGGTCAGATTCCATCCTCAATTGGAAACCTTTCACATCTCACCTCTCTCGCTCTTTCGTATAATCAATTTTCGGGTCAGATTCCGTCTTCAATTGAAAATCTTTCAAATCTCACATTTCTCTCTCTTTCTGGAAATCGGTTTTCTGGTCATATTCCATCCTCAATTGAAAACCTTTCACATCTCACCTCTCTCTCCCTTTCTGATAATCAGTTTTGGGGTCGAATTTCATCTTCAATTACAAAGCTCTCTTGTCTTGAATTTCTTCACCTCAGTGGTAACAGTTTCAATGGTGAAATCCCATCTTCTTTTGGCAGTTTGAAACAGTTGTCGTCTTTATCATTGAGCTTCAATCAACTCACAGGAACGCTTCCTGCAAACATTAGCTCACTCTCCAACTTGGAGGATTTTGACGCAGGTGGCAACAATTTCGTTGGAACCCTTCCTTCTTCTCTCTTCGCCCTTCCTTCTTTGACATCTATTTATTTGTTAGATAACCAACTCAACGGCACTCTTGAGTTTGGGAATATATCTTCACCATCTAAGCTACAAGGGTTAGACCTTAGAGGTAACAACTTCAGAGGGCCAATCCCTGGATCCATTTCCAAATTAGTCAACCTCGCAGAACTTGACCTTTCCCATTGGAACACCCAAGGCCCAGTTGACCTCACTATCTTCTCGCATCTCAAGTCGCTTGAAAGTCTTGACCTGTCCCATTTGAACACTACAACAACGATTGACTTGAATGCAATCTCATCATTTTCCAAGACACTCGAAGAATTAGATCTCTCAGGCAACCATGTTTTGGCCACAAACAACAGTTCAGTTTCAGATTCTCCTTCACAGGTGATAACTTATTTAAACCTGTCAGGCTGCGGTATTGCCGAATTTCCAGAACTTCTGAGAACCCAGCAGCGTATGGAGACTCTAGACATTTCCAACAACAAAATCAAAGGTCAAGTTCCTGGCTGGTTATGGACGCTACCATATCTGCGTTACGTGGATCTTTCCAACAACACTTTCATCAACTTCGAAAGATCAATGAACCATGGACTATCCTCTGCCCTGGAGTACTTGTCTGGCTCTAAAAATAACTTCACAGGAGAGATTCCATCTCTCATATGCGAGTTTCACTCTCTAAGGGTTCTAGATCTATCAAGCAACAACTTCAATGGTTCAATCCCTCTTTGTATGGGAAATCTCAAGAGCAATCTCTCAGTTCTGAACCTACGTCAGAACCGTCTTAGTGGAGGTCTTCCGAAGAATGTATTTAAAGGTCTAAGAACGCTTGACATTGGAAATAACCAATTGGTGGGAAAGCTTCCAAGATCTTTGATTCATTTCTCTGCTCTTGAAGTTCTGAATGTGGAAAGCAACAGAATCAACGACACGTTTCCCTTCTGGTTGAGTTCTCTACAGAACCTGCAAGTTCTTGTCTTACGCTCCAATGCATTCCATGGACCATTACATCAAGCCTCGTTCTTTCAGTTGAAAATCATGGACATCTCACATAATCAGTTCAGCGGAATTTTACCAGCTGATTGTTTTGTGAGTTGGAGTGCAATGGCATCTCTTGGGATAAACGAAGATAAGTCGACTAGAAAGTACATGGGAGGAGGTTATTACCATGATTCAATGGTTTTGATGAATAAAGGTGTATTATTGGAGCTAGAACGTATCCTAAAAGTCTTCACAGCACTCGACTTCTCTGGAAACAAACTTGAAGGCGAGATTCCAAAGTCCATCGGTTTACTGAAAGAGCTTCACGTGCTCAACTTGTCAAACAATGCTTTCAATGGCCGCATACCATCGTCCATGGGGAACCTTACAGCTCTCGAGTCACTAGACGTTTCCCAAAACAAGCTTTCTGGAGAAATTCCACAAGAGCTAGGGAATCTCTCGTTCATTGAGTACATAAACTTCTCCCATAACCAGCTTGTAGGTCAATTACCAGGAGGCACTCAGTTTCGAACGCAGCCTTGCTCTTCCTTCGCAGACAACCCGGGACTTTTGGGCCCTGCTCTTGAAGATGATTGCGGAGATATCCACAAGCCTTCATCGCAAAAGTCTGAAACGCCAGAACCAGAAGAAGAGGATGATGAGGTGTTCAGTTGGATTGCAGCTGTAATAGGATTTGTACCTGGTATTGCGTTTGGGTTGTCGATTGGATACATATTGGTTTCATACAAACCAGAGTGGTTCACGAGTCTTTTTGGTCGTAACAAACGCAGAAGAAGAAGAAGAAGCACCACAGCTAACTAGAGAGGTAATGTTTCTGAATTTGAAAATATATTATAATGAATAACTGAAACTTGAAGAATCTTTGCAACCAAACTAAATGGACCGGAGAGAAAGAAGCTTGGGGGAGAAGGCAACCCATTTATCAGTGTCTTGATTTCAGTTATTGTTTCCGGTTACTCTGTTTTTGTTGTGTTCTTTCCTCTGTTTTTCTCTTTTACTTTTTCTTTAGCCAATGTTTGTATTTATATGAATTTATAGCACAAATGTATTCCTGTTTATTTGATTGACATGATTATACATGGTTAAGGTCCAATCATAAGAGGATTTATCAAAAGAGATATATTTACCATAACATGAACTATGTGTTTACATTGTGTGAAACCAAGTTTAAGACCATTACTTGAAAGAACAAAACAGAAACCAAAATGCTGCATTGATTCTTACATCGGTTCTGTTCTTAGCTGCTGCTATATGGTATATTAATTTATATAGACTCTACGGTATAACATAAACCGTTGATAAATAACATAAAAACAAGAAGAATCTTGAGTTTAAAACAGAGGACAAAAAGTTTGTGGGTAATCGATTAATAGAGCCTACCGGTACACTCAGAAGAACCACAGTAGCAAATCTTCTTCTTGATATTACCGTTAACATCGCGCACCTGATCGATCATGTAATTATAATGGTAAGTGAGTTCTTGAAGCGGAGGTATATTGTCCATCGCAAACAGCATCACGTGAGGGATCCTCTTGTCTTCATGATCATACAACACGTTCTGTGCATACAAATTCGGCGAGCAGCTGTGGTTTATAAACCTCCCGATGTTCCCTTTCTTTGCGGCGTCGACGGTGAACCCCGTCGTCTCACCACCATCGCCGCCATCTTCTTCTTCTTTCTCTTTCTCCATCCCTGGTATTAGCTTCGACATCCCTTCAGCTAAAGTGTTGTCGTATTTGTTCCCAATGTCAAAGAGATACTCGTCGTTCCCTGTTCTTCTCTCAGCTTCTTTATCCTCCAAAAGCTCGCCGACGTACTCGCATATGAAGACACCCGAAGGTATCGAGCTGAGAGAACTCACTCCCCAACCTCTCGACTCGGTTTTGAAGATCTCGAGCTTGAACCTGATCCACACTCGTAGATCAAGCTCTCTGGATAAACTATGTTCTCATCGTAGTTGTAAGGTATCTCTCCTCCGTTTTTCGCCACGCAGGCGCAGTTTCTACTCTCCGTGCATCGCTTCGTGCAGCCGCATCCCTTTGGAGGGATCCGCGTGCTCCTCGTCGTCGATTTCGTTCACCGCGCAAATGGGCAACCTCTCGTGCCCTTCTGAGATGTCAAGCCTGCATAAACCTTCACGGTTCTCCGACTTCTTCGTTTGCTTCACCACTTTCCACGATAGCTCGGGCTGTCCCGGAATCCGTTTGAGTTTATACTTGAAGACGAGCTTACCGTGTGATCCGGTTTCTTGCCAATACTCTTCCACAACGTATAACCCGTCGTAGACATAGTTCCCGCCTTTGCTTGCACCTGATGATGATGACTCCAAAACAAAGAACAAATCTGCGATTTTTGAGAGAAACAAAACACCAAATTTCCGAATCATGCAGGACAATATGACGATCTCTCAATACATGAATCGTTCAAACAGAAACGCGGAGGAATCGATCGATTACATAATCAAATTCGGGTCTCGGAGCAGCAAAAGAGTGGGAAACAGATCAAGATTTAAGGTAAGGGACAAAATTTACCGATGAGAAGAGCGATCGATGCGGAGAAGAAGATGATGATGATGAATCGGATTTCGATCTGCCTGAAATTCCAATAGTCAGAATTGGAATTCGATTCTAGCTCAAATCGGGAAGTTTGATTTGATTGAGAACATTGTGAAGGAAACAAAGAACAGATTTGCGATTTGTTTCCTGATTTTTTAGGACTTAAAATCTCAAACGTCGCCAAAAAGAGGAACGCACAAAAAAATTCATGTACAGTACAGTGCCACTATTCACGTCACAGTGACGACATATGGGCAAGGGAACGTGGTTTGCTGTAAATAATAGTGCATTTTTTTTTTTTTTTGAAATATTTTTTTGTCAATAGTTTTGAACTTTTAAAACGATTCAGATAACTAAATAGGTGAAGTTGAGTTTACATAATCTAAATAATAAAAACATCTCGTACTAATTTATCTGTTTTTATATTCTTCTATATGTAAAACAAAAAATGGTCATTCCTCAGATTTAAAAATCATCTTCACCAATTTATAACTATCTTTAACTAACGCCATTCTTTTTTCATCAAACATGCAGTAGATAACTTATATCAGAGTTTTCTTTCGAATATATAATTAATTTAATAGGATAGAAAGTCCACACAAAAAAGCTTCAAATTTGCATTGAAAAACTTAAATTACACGTTTGGAACTATAGAATTCTCTTTTTGGTTATAGAGAATGTGATCATTGTGCTTCTTCTCAGTTTTTTTACCTTTTCTTCTATAAATTCTTCTCGATATCGTTTTCTTCTGGATGTTCTTGTCGTATCGTTTGCTCAATGAACTAACTTTCGATGACTCTGTGTTTACCATGTGTTCCACTACTCATCAAAGAGACGCACGCCAATGTTTTTCCATGAAGCAAAAATTCACCAGATTTGTACTGCAACAATGAACAATTTGGCAAATCAAAAACCACAGCACACGAATGTTCAAATCCTAGCTGAGAAAATCTATTCACCATATTCTTAAATCTAATTTTCGTTCGTTTCCAATGATCCTAAGCAAAGATTTCGCGGAAACAAAACACCAAATTTCCGAATCATGCAAGACAACATCACGATCTCTCAATACATGAATCGTTTAAACAGAAACGCGGAAGAATCGATAGATTATAAAATCAAATAGGCGTAAAAGAGTGGGAAACAGATGTAAGGGACAAAATTTACCGATGAGAAGAGCGATCGAGGCGGAGAAGAAGATGATGATGAATCGGATTTCGATCTGCCTGAAGTTTCTCAATAGTCAGAATTCGAATTCGAATCGGGAAGTTTGATTTGATTGAGATCATTTGAAGGAAACAAAGGAACAAATTTGCGATTTGTTTCCTAATTTTTGTTTCAACTGAATTTTATTAAAATCACATTGGAATACAGACATGAAATACGAATTGGAATTAAGCCTAAAAATCAGACCAATTTATTTAGAAAAAGAAGAGACAAAGAAATAAGGAACTAGATGCAAGAGGAAAACAACAGAAAGCACATCTCATTTAATCTTTGTCCTGGATTTGTTTCCTAATTTCTGAGAGATGAAAAATCTCAAACGTCGCGAAAAAGACGCACAGAAATACATGTACGGTACAGTGCCACGATTCACGTTACAGTGACGACATATATGGAACATTTATTTGGGTCAACAATTCTTAAAAGTTCGAATAACCAAATCGGTGGTGTTGAATTTACATCATTTAAATTATACAAGATGAGATAGAGGCACAGTAATAGATGCTTGTGTTGCAAGCAAGCGATACTTCATTTCAGTTCCAAGAAGAGATAATACTTATTCTCTTTGGCTTCTCGTTGGTGCTGCAGAGCTTTCAAAATAATTTATTTGCATGTCTTCTGTCCATAGTGCGCATCATAGTTTTTAATCGATTAGTTTTTAATCGATTAGATTAACTTATGTTTAGTATCACAACGCAATTAAAACAAATCATATAAATACCAGACCATGAGATAGGGTTCCACGCAAGTACCTTAGAATTTGTTTTAGAGCTGCTCCATGAGATTCCTTTGGTTCTTGCATATAGCGACTAAGTACTCCAACACTGAAAGAAAGATCAGGCCGTGTATGAAGTAAATAGCGGAGGCACCAGAGCCGTGCCTAAGCATTTGCTTGCCGTAGGCCAAACATATATACATATATATATATTTATTAAATGTTATATTATATAGTAATATATGAAATAACTATATTTATTTGTGAAACATAATATTAACTAAAATTTTACAAAAATATATATTTTAAATCATTTTTAGTATAAAAATATTATACAATAGAGATTGCATTGTATATAACATATTTTAATTTTTTAATTAAACTTAAAAAATTAAATAAAAGAATATTTAAAACAAAAAAGTTAGTGAAATTTTAAAAAGAAACAATAGCTAACATGGAAAAACATTGGAATAAAGAAATGAATATGTGGTTATATAAATACTATAGCTAACAAAAATTAAGAGATTAAAAATATAAACCTAATAGCTAATGTATTAGATGACTTTTAGATTTTAAATTTTTATTTTAAAAAAAGTCTTGAGATATTAGTTTGATCATCAATACATAGAAAGAGAAACTTAACATTTTTACATATAAACCATATAATAATAATATATTAAAATTTACTTCCTAAATTTTGTATAAAATTAAATAACGTAGGCAAAACCATAAATTTACTTCCTAAATTTTACATAAAAATTAAGTCACATAGGCGAATGTTTCTTTAATTGTTAAGTAGGCACGGCCCTGGGAGGCACCCAATACATCTTCTGTAATCCTTTTCATTGATGCGTCATTCTTCTAGCCCTTTTGATAGCTTCACATTCTGATCCATTGGTACTTGAGATGCATTACATTCATTCATTCCAGCTTCTTCTAATATTTTGGATGCATATCTTTCTTGCTTCAGCGTTATGCCATCCTTGTGTTGAATAACCTCGATGCCAAGGTAATAAGTTAATCTTCCAAGGTCACTCATCTCAAATTTTGTAGCCATCTCTCTCTTAACACCAAGTATCATTTTCATGTTTGATCCCGTGACTAATAAATCATCAACATAAACAGCAACAATGAGAAGATGCTCCTTCTCTTTCTTTCGGTATAGTGATGGTTCCTTTGAACACTTGACAAAGTTTAACTCTTTGAGGATCTTATTCAGTTTTTCATTCCATGCCCGTGGAGCTTGCTTCAGTCCATAAAGCGCCTTCTTTAGCCTGTATACTTTGTTCTCACTTCCTTTGATCACGAATCCATCCGGTTGAGTAACATGCACTTCTTCTTTTAGTTCTCCATAGAGAAACACTGTCTTGACATCAAGATGGTGCACCTCCCAATCATTAGATGCTGCTATAGCAATGAGAAATCGAATGGTTTCAATGCGAGCTACTGGTGCGAATACTTCATCAAAGTCGATACCATGTCTTTGAACATAGCCCTTTGCAACCAGTCTAGCCTTGTGTTTGTTGATGCTTCCATCAGGGTTTCGTTTGATCTTAAACACCCACTTTAGCCCAATTGGTTTGACTCCGCTCGGTAGGTCAACCAAATCCCAGCATTTGTTCTTTATTATAGAAGCTATCTCATCCTCACATACTATTATCCATTCTTTCGACTCCTTTGCTTCACTGAAATCCCATGGCTCCTCGTTTATCACGATCAAGAGTCGTTCGCATTCAACTTCTGCAAGACAATGATAGTGAACCTGATAGTCATTCAGATGTTCTGGTCTCCTGTGTGGCCTTATTGATTGTCTTAGAGGCTGTTCTTCATCATTCTCGGTTGTGACATCCTCGGTGTCACTCTCGTCATTGTTTACCTCTTGAGGTTCTGTTTCTTCATTGTTCTCGGTTTCTATGACATCTTCGTTCTCCCTTATGTTATCACTGCTTTCGAAAGTGAAATTGAACATTCCAATATCTCTACCATCTTCTTCTTCTTGATCATTCCACTTCCAGCCTTTGCTTTCATCAAACACTACATCTCTGCTGACAATTATTCTTCGATTTGTAGGATCTAATAGTCGATATGCTTTTGACCCAGGTTCCGTCCCAAGATGGATCAAAACACGTGACCTATCATCCAATTTTTTTCGACCAACAGTCTCTGTTCTTGCATAACCGATACAGCCAAAGACCCGAAGGTGTTCAAGATTTGGTTTCTTGCCTTTGAAGACTTCATATGGAGTTTGTGCCAATAACGATCTCGTACCAACCCTGTTTATCAGATAGGTGGCATGTCTCACAGCTTCTCCCCATAGATAATTCGGTATACTCATGTGTTTCAAGATGCTTCTAGTCATCTCCAACCAGGTCCTGTTCCTTCTCTCGACAACTCCATTTTGTTGAGGGGAATAGGGTGCAGTTAGATGTCTTTTGATACCGTGTTTATCACAAAAAGTTTGAAACTCATCAGATACAAACTCTCCACCTTTATCTGAACGAAACGTCTTGATTGTTGATCTTGTTTCTTGCTCGGCTAGTGTCTTGAATTTTTTGAACTTGTCAAATGCTTCGCTCTTCTCCTTTAGCAAGATTGTCCACATGTAGCGAGAGTAATCATCAATGAGGACGAAAACATACCTCTTATGTGCTGGTGTTGGAGGTGTGATAGGTCCGCAGAGATCTCCATGTATGAGTTCGAGTACTTGAGTGGCACGGAATGTAGTTGCTTGTGGAAAAGGTTGTCTCGTCTGTTTCCCACGTAAACATGCCGCACAGGTCTCTTTCTCCATCGGAATGCTTGGTATACCCATCACTAGATCTTTGTTAACCATTATCTTCATTGTCTCCAGATTGATGTGCCCTAGACGTGCATGCCACTTCGTTGATTCGCTCAATGAAGTTAGCTGCAGGCATTTGATGCTCTCGACCTCAATAGTTTTCCATTTCGATCAAGCAACGTCAGAAGGTTATTTTTCATTCTAACTTCACACCCTGCTTCTGTGGCTTGCCCAAGACTCACGATATTGCTCTTCAACTCCGGGATGAAGTACACATTGTTCAGAACCTTCTTCACACCGTTCTCAAACACGAAACGAATTGTTCCTCTTCCTTTGATATCAACACGAGAATCATCGCCAAACCTCACTTTTCCCATAATTGTTTCATTAAGATCTAAGAAGAAACTTCGATTTCCACACATATGGTTACTCGCTCCATTATCGAGATACCACAAGTTGTTTGTATCTTGGTCGTCTTCAAAAATACTTGGTTTTATCTTTTTCTCGTTGAGATACACCACCTCGTGTACCATTAGTTCCAAATTAGTCAACCTTAGGGAACTTGACCTTTCCCATTGGAACACCCAAGGCCCAGTTGACTTTAGCATCTTCTCCAATCTCAAGTGGCTTTACAGTCTTGACCTCTCCCATCTGAACACTACAACAACGATTGACTTGAATGCAATCTCATCATATTCCATGTCGCTCCACAGACTGGATCTCTCAGGGAACCATGTTTTAGCCACAAACAAAAGTTCAGTTTCAGATTATCAGATGATATTTTATTTAAACTTGTCAAGCTGCGGTATTACTAGATTTCCACCGCTTCTAAGAACTCAGCAGCGTATGAGGATTCTAGACATTTCCAATAACAAAATCAAGGGTCAAGTTCCTGGCTGGTTATGGACACTGCCAAATCTGACGTACGTGAATCTTTCCAACAACACATTCATCAGTTTTGAAACCTCAACGAAACATGGACTATCCTCTGCCCTGGAGTACTTGTCTGGCTCTAAAAATAACTTCACAGGAGAGATTTCTTCTCTCATATGCGAGTTTCACTCTCTAACCATTCTCGATTTATCAAGCAACAACTTCAATGGTTCAATCCCTCGTTGTATGGGAAATCTCAAGAGTATTCTCTCAGTTCTGAACCTTCGTCAAAATCATCTTAGTGGAGGTCTTCCTCGAAACGTATTTGGTAGTTTAAGGTCTTGACCTTGGACATAACCAATTGGTGGGAAAGCTTCCAAGATCTTTGATTCATTTCTCTATTATTGAAGTTCTGAATGTGGAAAGCAACAGAATCAACGACACGTTTCCATTCTGGTTAAGTTCTCTACAAAACCTGCAAGTTCTTGTCTTACCTGCAAGTTCTTGTCTTACGCTCCAATGCATTACATGGACCAATACATCAAGCCTCGTTCTTTCAGCTGAAAATCATGGACATCTTACATAATCACTTCAGCGGAACTTTGCCATCTGATTATTTTGTGAGTTGGAGTGCAATGGCATCACTTGGTGGGACAAGCCAAGATCGGTCCACTGAAAATTACATGGGAGACCGGTTTTACCATTATTCAATAGTTTTGGTGAATAAAGGAATAGAGATGGAGCTCATACGTATCCTAAAAATCCTCACAGCACTGAAGGCGAGATTCCAAAGTCCATCGGCTTACTGAAAGAGCTTCACGTGCTCAACTTGTCAAACAATGCTTTCACTGGCCACATACCATCATCCATGGGGAACCTTACAGCTCTCGAGTCACTAG